TTTTTTTTTTTTTTTTTTTTTTTTTATATCTTTAATTTTGTCTATCCTTTCAGTAGAATCTAGTGATAATGATTGACTGTTGGGAACTGTTGTATCCCTCCTTCCAACATTCTTCAAATGCAGTCAACAGATAAATTCAAAGGATAGGCACAAGTTGTCACTTTATTTTTGAAGGGAAAGGAAACCAAGACTCAAACTGGATTTTACTTAATCAGTTTTATATTCACTATGCTAAAGTGGGCTATCTAGTATTCATTCTTCATTTATATATTGGATTATATAAATGATCTGTCTGTAAAGTTTGTCTAGAAATTTATTCAGACTAACTATTAGAAGAATACAAAGTGCAGAAGACAGGTGGAAAAATGTTTAAAAATTATTTCCTTTCTATATTTAATCAGTTAGGGTTGTTGTAGCCACGTTGGTATAAGGACATAGGCAGACAAGGTTCTTTGGGTAGAAGTGATATCTTTTATTAGACGAACTAAATAATTGGAAAAATTGTTCTTGGCAAACTTTTGGTCACAAACACCCTTCTTCCTTTTAACCAATATTCAACAATTTACTCAGTTTGAATAAATAAATTTAATGCATTTAAAATTTTAAAAATAAATTTAAAAATAATTTATACACAGGACAGTAATACTTTTCCAGCATTTAGAGAAAATAAAAAATTAATTATGACATTAAAGTAGTATTACATCAATTGTAAGAGTTGCCTAGAAGATAGGGGTGCAGTGATAGCTGATATTTAAAGAGGCATATCAACCAATACCAATCCAATTTCCAATATAGCTTCCTGCAGCTGGTAAGTGTGGTATGGTGGAAGGGGAGGGGGGAGGGAAGAGGCTGGGGGGGGTAGATCAATGCCCCCTGCCGTGAGTGGAGGGCAGGGGCAGCTCTGCCCAGGCAAGGCAGGGAGGGGCTGGAGCCTTAGCTCGTGGGGAGTGGAGGCAGCTCCTACTGCTGCTTGGACCTTCCCTCCCCTTTCCCCTTCCCCTTCTACCATACTGGACTTACCAGCTGGATGCAGCTCTTTACATTGCCACCTGTGCTCCTTGCTGCCTGAGTGCTGCGCTGCAGCAGCATACAGCATGAGCATTTATCAGCCAAATTAATGGCCCCATTGTGCTGATATCTGATACAGATAGTTTTCTTCATATTGGTACCGATCCAATATCAGTCTGATGTCATGGTGTACCTCTACTAGAGGAAGCTGTTTTAATGGCAGATCCAAGTTTCAGATAAGTGCAATGTAATTGCCAACTGAGTCAAAGTTTAAAAACTAGTTATCACAAGACTTATGAAGTTTGGTTTATCACTGTCCACTTGGCCAGGTGAGCTGCCCTCCTGTACACCTTCACTTCTTATTACATTAATAACAATTATTTTGTGCCAGTGTTCTAGAGCTAGAACATGCTATAAGTGCCTAGGGGCTCCCAGCTCCATTCCTGCATGCTTTTTTTTTTTTTGTCTCTGACTAAAACCAGATTCCACCTCCTTCTGTTCAAGCTTTATTTAATGAAATTAATGAGTTGAGGTTCAGTAGCCATAGTTGACTGCAGATGCTTAAGAAGTCACTGGGATAAGATAACATATTATATACATTTAGAAAAGATAGCTCATATTAACATTGCAATATCTATTTACCATAATATAAACTCTGAGGTGTCACTGTGTGGATGGGTTACTTCAGGAGGTACCACAAAATGAAATAAGAGTGAAGCAAGAAAAAGGATAGGCAGAGAACTGGACATGTAATACGGATAAATTATTCATAGATATTTTAGCAACCTTGAATAGAAATATGTGCTTACACCCGTTTTTTGAACTTCTGGGTAAGCAAAGATGGGGGGCTAGTGTTAGAAAACATGTTTTTGGACATGGATTGCAGTAATATAATTTGGACAGAAATAGCATGTTAAATTAGAGAACAAAAACATTATTAGGTAACAAGCATTGTATACTTTCTAGTGGTGAGTAGTAATAGTTTGTTGAATTTGAAAGATTGGATATGCAAAGAAACACTCAATAAAAAGTTAGACTGATTTATAGGTTGAAATTCATGTATACAAAATCTTAACTTTTCAGATAATGAATATGTCGTTAATCAATATGATTAATT